TGTATATATATATATATATATATATATAGAATTTGACAAATTATTTTTGGATGGGTATCTTAAAACTTGTATCACTAAAAGTTTCCTTCTGTAAATATTACTGTTTTTTTTCGTAACTTCAAGATTTATTTTATCATCTTTCAAAATATGAACAATATTTAATGTATCCATATCCCATCACCGAGCCCCCCCAGTGGCATAGCGGTAGGTCTGCGGACTTATACGGCTTGAAACCGGGTTTCGATATCCGTGCTTAATAACAAACAACAACAATAACAAAACATCCATCACCGAATGTTCTCGCCTTTTTTTAGCCGTGGGGGAGGGGGCGTTACATTAACATCAATCCTGCTATTCGATTACAGTAACCCAAGAGTTGACATTGGGTAGCTGTCTTCCTTCTAGTCTATCACTTCTAAATTACGAACTGCTAGCGCAGATAGCCATCAAGTAGCTTTGCGCAAAATTCAACAAACAAACCAAATATTTCAATCTAGATGTCGCCCCTTGGATCGGCACTAAATTTACGGACTTGGAACGCCAACATTTCTATTCCCTGCAGTAGAAATAGCGCAGATATCCTATTGGGCAGCTAAGCAAAAAAAACACGATCTGGGTTTTGTACAGAATCAGGTAGCAATCTGTTGGTCGCGGGTTCGAATCACCGTCACACCAAACAGGCTCGCCCTTTCAGCCATGGGGGCGTTATAATGTGACGGTCAAGTCCACTATTCGTTGGTAAAAGAGTAGCCCAAGAGTTGGCGGTGGGTGGTAATTACTAGCTGCCTTCCCTCTAGTCTTACAAATGCTAAATTAGGGACGGCTACGCAGATAGCCCTCGTGTAGCTTTGCGCGAAATCCATAACAAACAAACAGAGTTAGGTAGATATACCGCGTGTGAAACAGAAAATCAATCAGTTTTTGTCCGTCTTAGGGCTTTGACAATACACGTTTTTATAAATCACAATTTAAACCTAAATTTTTTAGTAATTAACTCGACAGTATATGTCAATTAGTGAAAAATTACTTTATATCTACGTATATACATATATTTAATGCAGATCTAGAGAGGATAATTCGACAAACAAATGAGAGGATGACGGACATTTTTTCTAAAAGACGACATCGTTCTTAAAATTGTAAATAAAGCGAAGAAAAAAATATATCAAATATTATTATGAAGCCAAAATACTTTATGTTTATTTTTTTATTATGAAAAACCAAAATAAACTTTAAGGCATTACTAGACGGGGCATGGCCTGGTGATCATCGTGCAGAAGTGTGCATTTGAAGGTCTACGGTTTGCATCCCGTTGTCGCAAAATTGTGCTCAACGGTTTGAGAATGTGGGTGAGTTATAAAGGTGACAGTCAAATCCCACTATTTGATTAGAGTATCCCAAGAATTGGTATTGAGTATTGTTCACTAGTCACTTTCCTTCCAGTCTGTCCCCCCAATGTGACAGCAGTAAGTCTAAGGACTTACAACGCTAAAATCCGGTGTTCGATTCCCCGAGGTGGACACATCAGATAGCCTAATGTGGCTTTGCTCAAAAACAAACAAACCTTCCAGTCTATCAGTTAGAAATCAGGGACGCTTGGTGCAGATAGCCCTTGTGTTGCTTTACGCAAATATCCGAAGTAAAACAAAAACACTCTTACTACGCATAGTTTATACCTGAAAACGAGGAATATCTCTTCCGATATCATAAATATTTGGTGAGGTTAAGGCGTAAAATAGATTACAGGTCAACAAGAAGAGTGAATCTAGTATATTTCAATTGTCATGTTAGGTTTATCATCACTCATCCTGTAAATCACACCACTTTAAAAGAGACGTAAAAATTATTCACGCTTCATATTCGGATTCAAAGCGCAAAATACGCGGAAAAGCACTTACAGTGATGAATGAATCAGATGATCGGTTTTATTACTGGATTTTATGAGGAAGAATTATGATAGCATAAGAAACTTATGCTCATGTCAAAAGTGTGATGAACGTTGTTACAGTGAAATGAATTAAACAATTGTGGTCTCAATATACTGTTTGTTTCCCATGATTGACGTATCACATTGATTCCCCGTGCATGTATAAGTAATTCTAAAATTGTAGGCTTAGATGATTGCTTTTCAGTGTAATGACTGAAATAACTGTTCTGGTTATTCGCCGTGATATAATAACACAAAATACGAACTAACTTTTCCCTTTTCGCTTGCCCCCTCCCCCAGTAGCCCAACGGTATTTCTACGAACTTACAGCGCTAGAAACAGTGTTTCGATACGCGTGGTGGACAGAGCACAAAGAGCCCATTTTGTAGCTTTGTGCTTAACTTCAAACAAACCAACAAACCCTTTTTGTTTAGCCGATGCATGCCCCTAGTGGCATTGCGGTATGTCTGCGGATTTACAACGCTAGAATCCGGGTTTCGATACCCGTGGTGGGCAGAGCACAGATATCCCATTGTGTAGCTTTGTGCTTAATTACAAACAAACAAACATAACCAATGCATAGATTTATTTTAACCGAGCGCCACCCAGTGGTTAGCGGGACTGTGCAGCTGGAGTCCTGTGGCTCGTATCCTGTCACACCAAAAAAAAATAAGAAAAGAATCGCAATCCTCACTTTGGTCACCACACACTATTTAATCTGAAAAGAGCATCTCAAGACTTTCCAGTCAGGGGTGTTGCCTAGCTGCCTTACCTCTATAGTCTATCACTTCAAATCTTCTTAGACCTTTGCTTATACACACACGGGTCTTTCTCCAAATCTAAAATATTAGTACTCTAGCCATTACAACTGGTCATGAAACACGACTGTGTCAGTTTGATCTCACCTTCATTGGATTTGATATACACACACGGGTCTTTCTCCAAATCTAAAATATTAGTACTCTAGCCATTACAACTGGTCATGAAACACGACTGTATCAGTTTGATCTCACCTTCATTGGATTTGATACCAAGCTTTAAGATTTTGCATAAAGTCATGTTTTCATTTTAACATGAGTTTCTTTTAGCCTTTAAAATGACGTATTCTACGTATCTCAAACGTTAGAACCAATTTTATACACCAAACTTTAGTCTAAGAGAAATACAAATTTGATATATCTTAACAGACAGTTGATATAGAGGGAATGTATTGTGAAATAGTGACTTAACGACTTTACCTACCTGTTAAGGAAATAAAAGGTGCTCGCTCGTCAGAGAGAGAAAAGCAAAGCACGAGTAAACATTATCCATATTGGATTTGAAGTGTTTGTATAGAAAGTCTTAGTGTAGGACAAATGATGTTTCGGTCTCTATTTATGTTTCAGCACAGATACAGTCCAGAAAAACATCAAATCCAACAAGGGAAGAGAGCGGTTTTATACGATTAAGTTATTAACCAACAAGTTATCGAACTCTTTTTTTTTTATACTGTTTACTCACTGTCCATGGGGGCTGGGGGGGATCCACATGTTGCATCATATAAAGTATTTTTACGTTACAACACTCAGTGTAAAGAAATGACCAAGATATTTGGGAGAAATCATTTATTTCTATATAAAATACCCAGATGATCCCTACAGGAATTAGTGAGACTAATTACAATATCGATTTAATTTTGCTTAATTATCAGCCAACGAAGCTTTAAACCCATGAGCATTCCGTTGCGTAAATATTTTAGATAAGTGTGTTTAAAAAGCCAATGAAATATGGACCTCATCAGTAATTTTAGGGTTAAGCTAAGGCTTAAAGGCTGAACAATTAATTTAATGTTTTCTGTCGTAGGGTGTCCTTTAGAAATGGTAAAAAATATATACAGAAAATTAAAATTCTTCCGACAAATCATCATTAAAAGGGTCACTAGTTGTCAGATTAAGAGTTGAACCTTATTGTTTGGCCCACGTCGATAAAGGAAACGTTTGAACTGTGATTTCATGTATGAAATTTACGTTCACTGTATGTAACATAATCATTACATCTGTAAATTTAATATTTCACATCCCCTAACCCTAAATCTGAGACTTTAGAAACTTTTTCTTGTGATTGAACACAAATGTCAGTTTATAAAAATGTTCATAAATCAATGTTAAGCGTCTATAGTATCTCTATTTGCATTCATTATTCACGTTCTTATAATCTATTATAAAGTTAGAAAAAAAAACGACCTTTACACTACAGACAATTCTAAGAGAGCTTATATTTTAACCGACGTTTCGTCTTTGCGGCTCCTTCAGGGATAGTACATATAACAACTAGACCTGAAGAAGACGCAAAGGCGAAACGTCGGTTAAAATATAAGTTCTCTTATAATTGTCTGTAGTGTAAAGGTCGTTTTTTCTAACTTTATTTATCAAAAGTATAAAATTTAAATCTTAATTTATACAAAAAATATATTCATAAATATAAGACGAAAACAAATCAAACGCTGGCATTTGGTCTAAAAATTTTTCTGATATAGAAATATAGATAATTTCTTAAGGAAACTTTAGATCGTATTTATAATCATAATCATAAAATATACTTCAATGATTTGTTTTTCGTGATAATACTTCAAAATAAGAGTAACATTTAGTGAATTTGAACGGCTCAAACCAATCTTTCTGCAGCTGATTTGATCTTAAGTGTACTTTAGTTCCAATTTGTCGTTAAGTGCAAAGCTGCACAATAATGGGCTATCTGCACTGTGCCTAACTCAAGGATCGAACCCCGAATTTTAGCGTTATGAATTCCCCAACTTACGGCTAAGAAATCGTGGAGCACATTTTTGGTTAATTATTAGATTGTATTTCTTGTCTAATAGGTAAATAATTCGATCGTATCCCAACTGTTCTGTTCTTACTGGGAATTAATGTGACTTTAGGTTGTATTTCTTGTCTAATAGGTAAATAATTCGATCGTATCCCAACTGAACGTCACATTAATTCCCAGTAAGAATAGAAGTATAGATCATAAAACTTAGACCAAATCAAAGTATCACTGTACCTACCCCACAACATACAAAACGTCACATTAATTCCCAGTAAGAATAGAATTGTATGTTGTGGGGTAGGTACGGTGATACTTTGATTTGGTCTAAGTTTTATGATCTATACTTCTATTCTTACTGGGAATTAATGTGATGTTATGTATGTTGTGGGGTAGGTACGGTGATACTTTGATTTGGTCTAAGTTTCATGATCTATACTTCTATTCTTACTGGGAATTAATGTGACGTTATGTATGTTGTGGGGTAGGTACGGTGATACTTTGATTTGGTCTAAGTTTTATGATCTATACTTCACAAGTGTCGTTATCTTATATCGTCTGTTGTCTTGTATAGTGATACATCTTAGTTTTTACGCATTGATGTTGTAAATGGTTGTCGCTTGTATCTGTAGTAAAAATTGCAGTTTAAACGCCCAAAACTGGTTTTCAATGTTTAAACCATAATATTTAAATAGAATTTCGGAAAATATTTTTTTATCTTACAATTCAGCCCACATTACGAATTATGGTATTGAACGAAAAGCCTCTTTGGTAATGACTTGTGGAAGAGAAAAATAGATCTGAAATGTTGTGTTTATGCGCCTTGCATTTTGAACTCGCAATGATCAAATTAAGGGGACTCAAAATAAAAAAACACTTTTGCAATTAACGTGATTTTTGTCCAAAATTCTAGGCCAATTCGTGTCTGTTCCAGTTCAATAATGCACGATACTGTTGCTACTTAAATATCTTATTATAGTTTGGTTTTTAACACAGTTTGCACTTATTATTAAGTTCATATTATTCATAACTTGATATAGCTGGTCATTCTTCATTTACAATTTCCTGGGCAACTGTGAAGGTCCATATTATAACCTCTGGTTTTCGTTACAAAGAAACATTTTTCACTCAGGTCTGTATCAAATATAGCTGGTCATTCTTCATTTACAGTTTCCTGGGCAACTGTGAAGGTCCATATTATAACGTAGGCGCTTATCGATTACATATCTAAGATAACTCGTCTAACTAAGGCGACAACAGTAATAGTCCCTTATTCAAAACATATTATTTTGATACATGTTGAAAAATGTTTCTTTGTAACGAAAACTGTAATCAGAGTTTTGGTCAGTTTACTGTGATAGCTAAAATCGTTTATTTTATGCAAAGAAAAAACAGCTAAGATTTTCTATGCTATGCTGATGCACTTTTTTTTACCAGAGTTTTTGCTTTGATAAAGAAGAGTATCTGATGATGTTGCAGAAAATAAAATCGTGAAGTAATTGAAACAAATCAAAAAGACAATGAACCATTGATCAAATTGATGAAAATTCTCTATTTTCTTCAGATATAACAAACTGCAGTTTATCTATATATACAGCAACGAACGTACAAGTAAAATTTCCGAAACAGATCGGAGTGACTGAAGACCATTGATCAAATTTCTTGTTATCCCCTCTTTACTGAAAAAGTATGAAACCGTAATTTTATTTATTTTTTATTTTCAGGCGGATCATTAGTCATTAAACACGAGTTCATCCATGTAGATCCTGTTTAATATTTTGACAGTTCATTTATCTTAAGATCCAATCATTTCTCAAACGCAAACCACAACTGACTAAGAAGGACCATCTGGAATATACGCGTTAGTACTATTTACTATCCGCTTGTTACATTATATAAACGTACTATCTACTCGTCAAGTAGAAAACGTTTGTTTGTTTTGAATTTCGCGCAAAGCTAGCCGTCCCTAATTTAGCAGTGTAAGACTGGAGGGAAGGCAACTAGTCATCACCACCCACCGCCAACTCTTGGGCTACTCTTTTACCAACAAATAGTGGGATTGACCGTCACATTATAAAGCCCCCACGGCTGAAAGGGTGAGCATGTTTGGTGTGACGGGGATTCGAACCCGCGACCGTCAGATTGCGAGTCGAGTGCCCTAACCACCTGGCCATACCGGGCCAGTAGAAAACGTTTTCAATGTATAATTTATTTGTAATGACTTATCAAATTAAAATGTAAGTTCAGACATGCAGAAATTAAACTTTGTTCTTAACAACCCTGAAACACGCTTAATTAGTTTCAAAGCACATATGTATCCATATCTAATAGGTTTTGTTTGTCTGTTTGTAATTAAGCACAAAGCTACACAATGGGCTGTCTGTGTTCTGCCCACCACAGGTATCAAAACCCGGATTCTAGTGTTGTAAGTCTGCAGACATACCGCTGTGCCACTGGCGGAGGGGGCTATCTAATAGGAAGTGTTAGTCTTGACACGTAAACGAAACTTAATTTTCTTTTTATGGGCGTGACTTGTATGTAAGTACCCCTGATTCTCGCGAGATAGATTATTATTAAAAACTTGATTAATTATAGCTAATTCTTAAGACCTGTCATGGAGATATTTTAGAACAATTAATTTTGTATTATTATATTTGTATATTCTTTAAAGTACAATATCTGTTTTCTTATAAACAATCAATATTTAAGATATTTAAACTTGAGGTTATCAATAAAAATTATCATTATCTGTTTTCGGCCTTTGTTAATATAAAAGAATACTGTTGTATTACAACGAATAAAGTTATAAATCCAAACTTACCATCCTTTCGTTATTTTTCTTGTCGTATGAACCTGCACTGTTCAAAGGCGTATCTCCTTCTTTTAATACAGTTACGGTTGTTTCTGGAATTGTCATAGTAACGGTGTCATTTTCTTGGATAGTGCTGCCAGAAGACATCATTTCATCTGTCCGAGGCTTAGTTGTTACTGGTGTTACCGCAGAGACATTGATATTTTCCGAAAATGTACTGCTGAAATACTGGACTTTTTCATCAGCCCAAAGCTCAGTTGTTACAGGAGTTTCCGTAACACGGGCATTTTCCGTGAATGTTGTGTTGAAATGCTGAGCTTGATCATCAGTCCGTGATTGAATCGTTACTTGAGTAACCATAGCAATCCGAGATTCTATAAACAAGAAAAGGTTCTTCATGCTGTTTAGTCTATTTGCTGAATTTCTTCTTTTCTTCTTTCAAAGTTTTATGAGTATTTCTGTACTAAGGAGAAATAGAAGGTATTTCAATTTAAAACTATACTTTGAGATTTGACTTAATTTTGAAATCTTCTATATGAAATGCGAACATACCAATTTGTTTAACACCATGGTTAACACACGTTTCAAATATCAGCATATATTTCTTTTTGTCAGAAATGTAAATACATGCTAGTCCAACATCATACAGTTTTCCTTGGAATACTCAAGATATATTGGAAAATTCCAAACGTTACGTATGAAGCCTCAAGGAACACTCAATATACGTATGTGTGTTCTCGTGCGAAGAGGTCTTTTTGTGGATTAACTTCTTGCAATCTTGTGGCTATACGTCCAGACAAGGAAACAGAACTGGTAAAGCGTGAGTTTTACTGGACACCATCTTGGCCGCTACGATACTAGAAGTATTCAGTCACGCAGAACAAGTATGAGCGAAAGATGAGCAACCAAGTGTAATATTTCGTCGAGTTTTTTTTTCTCGTATTTGCTAACTTCCATTTCCTTCTTTTTCCATTTCAAGTGCATCACTTTCAGACTCATTATTTCTGCCATAAGAGCACTGGTGTCCGTGACCACTCGTCCGGAAGAGCCATTGCCCGGTGAAAGTGAATACTGAATAGCTGTTTTAGAACTGATACTTTGGCGTTTTCCGGGAGTCAACAAGACTAATACGGATATTTTCGAAAAAAAATTTATCGCAAAGCAACAGAGATGGTTTCTGAAATGAAGGTTTTAAGTGGTATAGGACTGACATTTTGGAGTTTCATGGGACGTAAACAAGATTAATACATAGATTTTTAAAATGTTAAAGGCAAAGCAAAAATGACGGTTAACGAAAGTGGAGGTTTTAACTATTTGAGAGCTGATATTTTTGCGTTTCATGGGGCGTAAACAAGATTAATACATAGATTTTTAAAATGTTAAAGGCAAAGCAAAAATTGACGGTTAACGAAAGTGGAGGTTTTAGCTACTTGAGAGCTGATATTTTTGCGTTTCATTGGGCTTAAACAAGACAAATGCAGATATTTTCGAAATGTTCAGTTTGGGTTAAATTTTGCTCAAAGCTACACTAGAGCTACCTGCGTTAGCCATCCCTAATTTAGCAGTGAAATAATAGAGGGAAGACAGCTAGCCATCACCACCCACCTCCAACTCTTGGGCTACTCTTTTACCAACGAACAATGGAATTGTCCGTCACATTATAAGGCTGAAAGGGAGAGAATGTTTGGTGGGATGGGGATTCGAACCTTTCAGATTGCAACTCGAGTGCCCTAACCACCTGGTCATGCCAGGCTTCGAAATTTTCAAAGTAAAGCAATAACGACGGTTACCGAAAGTGAAGGTTTTAGCTATTTTAAAACTGACATTTTAAAGTTTCATGGGTTACAACAAAAATTGTAATATAGAATTTTTTTTAGATATAAAAGATAAAAGTACGAAAGCGTTTTATGGACATATTTAATAGATGTATTCAATTCTGTGAGAAGAACATAAATTTTAATATTTTTTCTTAGGTTTATATTTTAGCTATGATAATTGAATGTAATGTTTTTTGTAACTTACGATTCCATAAATGTTTTGAAGATTTTTAGCAAGAGTTCTGGTAGAAACTGTTACTTAAATATCATGGACCACGATAGTGGTTCATAATGGGGATCGCAAAGAATTGCACAAAACCCTAATAGAACGTTCTGGCAAAAAGCACCTTAAACAGTAAAGATTCAGTTCAAACAACACTTTAAAGCATTTACTATTGATTGCTAAGGCTGAACACGTATAAAGTGCACAAAAAACACGCATGATAGACTTTCAAGGAAATGAAAATCCGCTCAAAACGGCCCGTTTATAATTCTTATTATAATTAATATTCTCTTGCCAGCCTACAACAAAAACGGCTTGGAACATTGCACACAAACTTTTGCGAAAGTCGTAGCTGTATTGAAAAGTCGATTTGTTTCTTTTGTATTTTACATAAGCTAAAAAACATCATAATTATAGTGTAAACGATATTATCATTATCCTTTGAAGTTAGCTTTTTCATGATTACCAGCCAATAATACATGAACATTAGATGTACATACTCAATGCTTTGTACACTATACAATTGGTGTCTTTAGGGAGAATACCCCCTATATTATGTATGAAATGAAGGAGTAAAAAAATCAATACACATAATATTAACTTTTATTACATATAATGGTTGGAGACTGCTTGAATGGGTAATGAAGAAAAACTTTAATATAAGTTGAACATAACAGCAAATGTACAACATTTTATTACATATATTCGTAGAATGATTATTTTAAGGTCTATTTAAAGCGATGTTTTAGATATATATGTTTTATTTGAAAGGGCTGATTTTCTACTGGTAAAATTTTATAAGCGTTTAGTAGGAGTTGTGTCTTAGTTTCGGCATATATTTGCCCATTGCTATACATTATATATAGAGAGAATTTCGTTACACAGAAACTATAAATGTTCACTATCCTCTTAAACAAATCTCCAAGACCTTCTCCAGCTGCATCTTAACATTTTACATCCCGAACTAATGCGATCAAATAGTCATGAACCATATCAGCTAGCTACTAGCTATGCTTATCATCACAATATGAATAAATAAATTGGGGATTTAAAAACCTACAAATAGGGATCGTAAAAAAGTAAGGAAACAAGGCTGGGGATACTGGAGACATTATTTACTCAAACTACAAACCCCTATTTCGACTCCATCCTGTTACCTAGAATTACGTTTGGTGGAGTCAAAATGGTGATTTATAGTTTGAGTAAATAATGTCTACAGTATCTCCAGTCTTGTTTCCTTACTGTTTTACGATCCCTATTTGCAGGTTTTTAAATTCCTAATTTTCTATTTATCTTAGCCCGCGATCCTGTGTAGTACTTACTATTTACAGTATCTCCAGCCTTGTTTCCTTACTGTTTTACGATCCCTATTTGCAGGTTTTTAAATTCCTAATTTTTATCTATCTTAACCCGCGATCCTGTGTAGTAATATCTATTTGTGATGCGTTAAGGAAAGTACGTTAACCATAGATTGGTCAAAAATATGGTTTATCATGTTATTGTTGTGTATTTCATGGGTGCTGCGTGATTACTAACTGATATAAAACGAATTTCAGACAATTTTGTTTCTTTAACAACGTGAAGCAAACCGTATTACATGATTATCTTACGATTATCTATAAATCGCATTACTTTACCGTAAAACCCACAGAGCCGAGAGTTGTGTATAATCCTATTGTGACTGGACCTCGGTTGACTGAATTCGTTCTCAGACACTTAAAAACGGGATTGGCTGTCCACAGCGTGACATTCATTATTGTCTACTAGGGTGCGCTGTGGCAGTCTAACGTAATTACCATTCTACCTTGACAAATTGACAGATTTCTGCTATTCAAAGAAGCTTCTTATTAAATTTATAACTGTCGTATTGAATAAGTCACATCAATGATCTTTTGAAATATGAATACAAATGTTTTATATAACACAAAACGGATTAAAAGATGTTTCCGCAACAACTTCTGATAGAATGTATATAATATCAAACCTCAGTCCCACTTAAACATGTAAATATCAAACCTCAGTTCCACTTAAACATGCAAATATCAAACCTCAGTTCCACTTAAACATGTAAATATCAAACCTCAGTTCTACTTAAACATGTAAATATCAAACCTCAGTTCCACTTAAACATGTAAATATCAAACCTCAGTTCCACTTAAACATGTAAATATCAAACCTCAGTTCCACTTAAACATGTAAATATCACACCTCAGTTCCACTTAAACATGTAAATATCAAACCTCAGTTCCACTTAAACATGTAAACAAGTAAAGTTCAGACTATTGATGCGGTTAATTAATTAATTAACATTTAGTGCTTGTAGTTTTGATAATTCTACGACGTCTACATAATTAGATTTCATAAGAAAACCAATTTTTGTTGTTGTTTTTTTGAATAATGTCCTTATCGTACTGCTCCCTAGTGGCTCAGCAATAAGTCTGAAGGCACACAACGTCATAAACTGGGTTTCGGTACCCGTAGTGGGCACAACACAGGTGGCCCATTGTGTAGCTTTGCGATTAACAACAAACAAACTTCATATTACTAATCTTCTTTTATACAAAAACCATTTCAACTATAGATATTACTTAAATATAAGCTGTTAAAATCTTTGTTTCTTTGTAATTAAGCACAAAGCTACACAATGGGCTATCTGTACTCTGCCCACCTCGAATTTCGAAACCAAATTTTTATATCACTACAACGCTTCTTGTTTGTTTGTTTGAACTTGAACGCAAAACTACACAATGTACTATCTGTGCTCTGCTCACTATGGGTATCGAAACCCGGTTTCTAGCGTTGTAAGTCCGAAGACATACCACTGTGCTACTAAGGAGCTCTTATATATAAGTTTTGGTGTAAAATACATTTTTATATAACAATGATAAACTTCAGACTTCAAATCAACTTCACACTTCTTTTGTTAAAATAAAGTACTTAAATCAAAATAAAACCTTCCAATATTTTCTATTTAACGTCTTTAGAATAAAGCAGAAATCTTCTGAAAAATATAATGATGTAACGTTTTAAATCTTTCAATCTAACCTAATCTGTCTACCTAAGCTGCAGTCATCCCTCGTTGGATGTAGTTCTCTGTCAGACCATTCCAGTATTTACTGTTCTTAGCATACCGTGTCCATTTGATTCCGACTTGCGCCACTATATCGTCTCTCCATCTTCTCTCTTGCCTTCCTTTAGATCTTTTCGTCGTCCTAGGTTGCCATTCCATTATTCTTGGCCCGGCATGGCCAGGTGGTTAGGGCACTCGACTCGCAAGTTGAGGGTCGCGGGTTCGAATCCCCGTCACAGCCCTTTCAGCC